AAACGCAAAAATAGCACAGTATTTATACGGCGAAGTTATAAAAATTTGGAAGAACTAATAATGCACTGACGCATACAAAAATCAAACGAATACTAAATTTCATTTATCAAAAGCATTCGATAGGTAGTCGTGGCTCAACGATAACCATTTAGTCGCACGGCGAGATTGTCACATATGCTTTTATACAAATGAATGAATGATTTTATTCGAATAAAACCATTCGATAGTTGAAATCATTCATTCATTAACCATTCGATAGTCTAATTCATTCGATAGTTCCCATCGCTAGTAAATATAGTTCGGAAATGGTTGCTGAAAATAATATACGATAAAAACTATAGATATCCCTCTGATGCCTTATACCTGAAATAGAAGCAGCCATTTTTGACGCTAAACAATTATTTTGGTTTAATACATTATCTATAACATTCAGCAACAGAAGTAAACATAATCTAATCCCACATTCATACCCACTACGTCGACGCGAATTAACTATTAATGTACCTCGGATGCATAAAACTATCGGACAAAAAAGTCATTTATATGTAGGACCTAAAATGTTTAATGTTTTACCTAAAGAAGTTGTTAATTGTCAAAACATTAATGCTTTTAAAAAAAGATTAAAAGAATGGATACTTGGTAAAACAATAACCGAAATGCATACATTTATACTAAGCAAAATGTGAAATATTAAAAACCATTCACAATAAATATAATATTTGAAAAAAAAATAATGTAATCTTATATGCCTTAGAACTTGCAATCTACCCTATGTCAATATCTGACCGCTGTGTGACTTGTTTTTTAGCGTGATTAAGTGTTGGACAATGAAATAAATTAATTTGATACATTTAGATATAGTTAAGAATTTAGAATAAAATATTGTAGTTATTGTTGTAGAAATAAAACTCCTCAGACAAGGTTCTACCTTAAGAGGATATTATGTTTATTCACTATTTTGTATTCGTAAGTTATGTATAAGTCTTGTATATACTTTGTAATTGGATCAGTTTGAATAAACATTATTTATTATTTATATTATTATTAAGTATCTAAGACAATTTTTTAAACTTTTATTAAAACTAGTTTAAAGGTAAAAAAAGGCTTTAGCATATCATCATGCTTTATTTTACTAAACATCATTGGATGTTTTTGTCTTGAGGAAAATTGCAGAACAGACTGTTGGTGTCATTCATTAGCTGCCCATACAAGGAAAGGCCCGGCCTTCAGACTTGGCCTTGAGGCGGAGCCTTTAACCCAAAATACCATAGGTTTGCGTGAAAGGCAAAGTCCGCGGATATATGGGTAGCTATTAATTTTTTAAACTCAGTGTCTTTCGATGGAGTTAAGGTTTCAACAATTACAGCAGCATTCTTACTACCACTAGCCCTAAAGCTCATAGTACTTGCAAAACCCAATTCTTCTTTTGAATGCTCTTCAATTAACCCTTTAACGAGACGAATGAAATGAAACTTTTGGGCATTCATCTGTTGAGCTTGAACTCCCTGTGACTGTGACTACCTGTGTTGGTAACTATTGGTAACTCAAAAGATCTGCATCATTCAATATATCGATATATGAAAAAAAAGTGAAAGTTTGATATCTGCAGAACAAAGGCACGAAGGATTTTAACAAATAATATACGTACAGTAGAAAAGTACATACCTTTGGCAATCTTCAACATAATTTGGCTTTGGAATAAAATGTATATGCTCTTGTAAATATTTTGTTTTCGTATGATCTCTGCCTTGCTGAGCAGAAAACGACCAAATTTGGATGATAAAAATGTGTCGAAATACCAAGAATATTCATGCATTTTTATATCAATTGGGATGTCTACTATTTATTCTTATAAGTACAAATTATTGGCTTATTTCTAACCAAACGGTTTTGTCCCGCTAAATTTATCTTCCACCACACTGTGCGCTCGTCCATCAAACGCATAAATAACTGTCAATGTCTAACAAATTTAACGCCAACGTCAACTCGGTCCCTAGATGACGTAAAAAAACTGACAGTGCAGGAAGATAGAAATCAAACTATCTTTATCTCTATAGTATCCTCGGTTTTGACCAGAGAATCAGTACATTTTTGACATACATGTCATAAAATGAAAGTAAAAGAAGCGTCCTCTTTAGGTACCCATATTTATTTATTTTTTAAATATCACAGAAACATTTTTTTTAATTGCAACAATATTAAAGTTAAACGGAATATTATAGGTTAAATTACTATTATAAGAGATGTTTCTTCTATTATATCAGGGGATATAGAAACCAAAAAAATGGCGGTTTTTATTTTCGCAACTTGATTAAGAACAGTTCTTCGCAGGTGTGTGTTCTCGATCAAAATAAGCCATTGTATTTTAAAAATAGATATCTAAACATTGGTAGTTAGAGAAAAACTAGCCACAATCACACACCGAACCTTTAAAAAATAAAAGATACTAAAAATATTTACCAATTTTCATGAATATTTATAATTTAAAATACCAATAAGCAACCCTTACGTATTAAAATGTTTAAAAGTAATAGATACAATAATACAAGGTGCTCATAAAATACCGTATGATCGAGAAAAAACGGCGTCAACGATGGCTATGAAATGAAGATCGCTGTCATTTTATATGTAAATTTATATAGGAAATGTCATCGATCGTCATTTCCCAGCCAACTGGACGCCATTTTTTTTCGATCATACGGTATAATATAAATTAGATTCTAGACAATTATGAACGAGTTGTGTGAAAAACCCTCTATGTGATACTAGTTTGATTAGGCGTATTTTTCTAGGCATATTTTAACATATTATAAGCGAAGTTCTAGAATAGTTCAAGAAGAACATATAAAACTGATAAAATGATGAAATTAATTAATATATTGTTACTAAATACAAAAATTATATAAATAAATTACGCTTACATTTTTTTGGCAAAATACTTGTGTAATAAATAAATGTTATAGTTTTTGCCATAAATTTTCAAATATGGCTAAAGTTTATATAACTCTATTATAAGTAAATTTTTAAAAACCAACAAGAGTTTTTATTAATAACACGTTTTAAAAAAAATATTTTTATGAAGTAATATTTCTTAAATATTAATATTCGAGAGGGCTATATTAAATAGTAATAACTTTTAGTAGTTTTGATATTATTGAGAGTAAAGATAAGAGAACTATTTCAAGAATAGATTGTAGAGTTTTGTAAGTAATAGATGAGGAATTATGACAATGCTGTTACTTTAAGTTTATTTTCTATAGTTAAGATTATTATTATTTATTAATCTAATTTATTTAAAACAACAAACACATATATTTTTAAATATCCATATTCAATAGTTGATTTTTTTATTCCTGTTGTGTGTCTGTAATGTTTAACATAAAAGTGTACTTTTAGTGAAAAAGTAAACGCCTAATTAAAAAATGGAATGTACGTATTATTAATTCAAGCTTTATCTTGTCTACAACTTGCCATAAAACTTACTTAACTTTAATCTACGTTCCTTATTTTCTGCCTAATGGGTTCCCTCTTATTTCTTATTTTAATACACACAAAAATACATTTAACACTCAGACTGTTTATCCAATTTATATTTTTTTGTCATATTATCAGTATTTAAGCTTAAGTTTGCCTATTTAACTATTCAAAAGCATACATCACATTCATTATTATTTGTACATGATTGCAACAAAATATATTACTAAGAAATTTCTTGGTTCTTCGGATATAAACATAGATAAAAGAAATAAATTTAGATTGGAATTACCTCGGCTTGCCGTTTTTTTTGCAACATTTTGTTTTGGATTGCGTACGTTGCAGGGCGCTGCTATAGCGGTTACTAAGAACAACTGGAAACAAGGACAGGAACTATTTAGTTAAATCTCTGAGTTAAACTAATAGGACATAAAGCATTTTCTCTTGTCAAAGTCAGGTATCTTCAAAAATTAAAAAATCCAAAATTTAAACCGTTCTTGTTGAAAAGATACCGAAAAGTGTATAAGCATTCTTTCCCTAAGACATTGTGATCTAGAGAGTTTAATTTTAACCGGATTTACGCAAACCCTTGATAACTGTGAAAAAGTGGCATAAAAAAAAATTAAAAACTGATGTGTGAACTGCCAAAACGAACGTGGTATAAAACAATGGTTTCCAAAGTAATCCACATATTTTCCAATATTGAATTAATACTTTTAAACCGGTGGAATGAGTTTTTAACTATGATCCAACATTATAATAAATATTATAGGTATTATGGTTATGATTTTTTTGCTTCGCGCTTCACACTGCTGTTCTTAGATTTTTTTAATATATTTTAAGTAATTCTACAGATGGTGTTTATTTACAATAAAGTTTTATAAATGTAACACACACATTTTGTTTAGAAAAATAAAAGAAAGTAATAATAAAATTGAATATAAAATATTTCCGATATAATTACGGAAAATGTCGAACTGCTCCAGAATTACCAAAAGTTTGGATCGCGTCCGCTACAAGAACAGCGCCAAATAGTATTTACATAGTACTAATGGACACTTTCCAATCTAAACTTGTTTCATTTATCTATCGATATAAATGAAGTTTTGACACTTAATAATTGACATTTTATGATAGACAATCCAGTAGCAGCTTATAAATCTATGAATATTTTCGAATACTTGATTCATAGTACTTAAGTGTCTACACAGTCATGGCAAGTCTAAATATAATATACTTTTACTTTTAGCTCGAATTTTCCTAGATATTAGTAGTAACTTTACTAAGTTTCAAAATTAACTAACTAAAAAGTCTAAATTTTTATGTAAAAAAGTTGCACGTACTATTTTCTAAAACAAGGGAGTTGCGACTTAAAAAAAATACTTAAAATAAACAAATAGGAAAGCTTCTCAACGATCGGAAATATCAATATAAAAATACTCTTTAAAAAAATAACAAAAAATTGTATTTTTAAAATCAACTATTGAGATAGATTGAAATAGAAATATTGCTAGTTCAATTTTATTATTATCACAGACCAAGATAGAATATACATATAACAGACAACGTTAAAGTAATGTTTATCATAAAACATAGTGTCTAATTCAAATTTATAATATTTGATCATGCATTTTTTGGTCCGAGTACAAATACCAGTTTGAATTAATTATATTATTGGTAGTTAATAAATTTCCTAAAGAAGGAATCTTTTTGTAAATATGAAATACATATGAATTTAAAAATAAATTGGTTGTAAGAAGGTGTATTTAACTATTTGTATTTATTTATTAGACACTATATGAATAAAATATAATATCGTTATTTTTATCTTCAAAGCAATTAAATCACTTTGTGATATTTAACTACGAGTTTAAACATTCATAATTCATATGACCATGATTCACATTTTCTCATTGAAATCAATCCAATATACGGGGTGAGTTTAAAGTACAAATATTTTCAGGCCTGGTAAATCTCGACAAAATAAATATATTTTCTCTTTACCGCTTTTCATAATTAAGTTCTAAATATTCAAATTATTATACTTTGAAAATTTAAGAACCACTCCTATTTTTTAACGTTCCTCTAAATTTAGTCTAGTACCTATATTGTCATATTATCAAAATATTATATATTTTAACTAAAAGTTTTACAATATACCACCCCTAAAAATATTAGCACTCTTTTAAAACTCACCCATATTATGATGTAAAAAATAAAGTTATTAAAAGAAGCAAAAAGTTGTTAATGTGTGTGGATTTTAGCTTTTGAAAATTTAAAGAGAAAAAGGTTTCAAAATAAATTTCTAAATTAAAATATATTCTAACCATCTAAAACATACGTTTATTAATTTATTGTGTATCTCAACGAGACAGAGTGTCGAACTTAAAAAAAAAAGAAAAGTTAAAAATATTTTCACCACACACAATATACTTTTGATTTAGTAAAATATTAAAGATAGTTAAGTACTGTTAATAGTTTCTTTTTTAATTTTGATTAGTTGAAATGTTACCAGTACTAGATTTTTAGAATTACATAAGTCAGTTAATACAAAACATTCATTCTTCTATTTGAAATATTACGTAAGTAAGAATATTTAATTTTAACTTAAAAACTAGATAGATTGCTTAAAACATACCATAAATATATAAAAACTATAAGTTATGTGTTTCTTTTAATATGAACATTGTGAGATTTCATGACTAGAATAAATAAAATGCATTTCTCGCGTACGACTCGTGAAGTTTCAAGAATGATTATGAACAATGTATAATGTAGTTTGCCAATGGAATGTATAGATGGTGTAAAATGCCGGAAATATAACTCGAAACAGCTGAGAGGTAATTCATATAAAATAGATATGTTTCTAATAGAACAGTATCATCTTGTTTCTTGTTTGAAAGACCTTCATGACAAGAGTAGGATAAATCCAATTAGCATCAACTGTCCAAAACTGGAAAAAAAAAAGATGAAAATGTAAGGATCTATTCAGTGACGACGTATAACTAAGTAATTAGTGCGTACGTACGAGGGTAACAGTTACTAACTGTCATTCTAGTTAGGAGCTATCAATATGAGTTTCTAGATAACTATTCTACTTAATTCAATGTCTTATAAGTAAAAACACTCATAATACACTCACCGGCAAAAAAAAAACCGCCACTAAAAACTAGCTCCAATTTCAAAGTTGGATTTCTCGCAAACCGCTCATTAGATTTTGATGTTTTTTTTTTAAATTGTAAATTAATTCCTTCTTAACGGATGCTACGTCAGAAATTTTTATTCCGAATATATTTTGAGCATGTACAGGGCACAACAATAAAACGAAGTTTTTTGCCCGAACTTTTTAACACCCTGTAGGGTGCAGCAACTGTAGTAGCTATTGCTAAATCAAATCACATTGTAGCCTCATCTTTTGTGAGCATTTTGTTTTTTAATCACGACTATCTCTGTTTAATTGGAGATACGCTGCTTTAAAACGAACGTCTCGGAAAAATGGTCCGCAGGCAAAACCGCAATTCATCCCTGAAAAGGACTTTAGTCCATTGCTCAATATCCCAATTCACATCTAAACGCGCAAACTGAAGACGTGCTCGACGATGTCTTGAAAGTAGCTGGGTTCCTGTGGCTGGCCTCCTTGCAGACAAGCTGTTTTCTTTTAGTCTTCGTCGGATTGTTCTCTCACTGACTTGAGTTCCACGCACGGCTTGTAGCAGATGTTGATTCTGAAATGCTGTAATTCTACGATTTCTTAAAGTATTCAGGACAATAAAGCGGTCGTCAATTGCATTTGTCTTCCGTTTTCTATTGGAACCCAATCGACTGGTGAAATTTCCCGTTTCCATATACCGAATCCAGTCATCCTGGACTGTTGTCGAGGTATAACCAGGGTATCAAACACATAACGTTGACTTCGGCCATTCTCAGTTAAAGCCACAATACGAGCAACATCCATCACAGATAATGGCATTCTTTAATTTGACAACCGTTGCTTTCATTATTTACACATTAATCTTTCTGCCTGCGAAGTATTTTTCCGAGACGTTCATTTTAAAGCAGCGTATCTTCAATACAAACAGAGATAATGTCGTGATTAAAAAAAAAACAAAATGCTCACAAAAGATGAGGCTACAATGTGATTTGATTTAGCAATAGCTACTATAGCTACTATAGCCTACACCGTGTTACAAAGTTCGGACAAAAAACTTTGTCTTATTGTTGTGCTCTGTATACGCTCAAAAAATAATAAATTCGAAATAAAAATTTCTGACGTCGCATCCGTTAAGAAGGAATTAATTTACAATTTAAAAAAAATCATCAAAATCTAATGACTGGTTCGCGAGAAATCCAACTTTGAAATTGGGACTAGTTTTTAGTGGCCGGTTTTTTTTGCCGGTGAGTTTATATAACGCTAATATACCTTCAAAATAAGGGTAAATGTCTTGTTTAGACATGCTGGACAAACTCTGGATTTAAGAAAGAGAAACCCATAAACTCTGTTTGATCGAGATTCATCATGAACAGCTTATCAGTTGGAGTGAGATCTGTTTTTTCAGACGTAAATTGTTTGTCGAAGTTGCTCACATCTTTACGATGTTTCTGAAAGGATATAAAAGGATATTAATATATTTGATTTCTCTCTAAAAACCAATATGCTCTTTAGGCATAAAAATGTGCCAGTTAAAAAATAAATAGAATAGCCCAAATTCATAAATATATTTTCAACACCCTGTAGCATCTAGCTCAAATAAATTACTTAAATCTTTTTCATCATATTTAGAAAATTTTCCTTCTAAATTTTCCGACTTTTAATTGATTTCCGACTTAAGTAATTGAAATATTACAAAAACTACTAGTTTTAGATATACAGGGTGTCCCAATATTCCGTGGACATAGATCTACTACGTATTTTTGGAATCAAAATAAGTTCATTGGACACAATTTACCTCTATACAAAAGTGTTTCGTTTGCCCGTCAAAGAGCATCATACTTTACAAAAATAAACACATTTTTTCACATATTTCAATAACTGTTATTCCGATTTGAATGAAATTTTGGGTGTCTATGTTTTGCTAAGTGCTTTAACATTTGACATTCACAAAAATCAAGAAAAAGTACGGGAAGGGTAAAAACTACCCCCACACCATTGGACACCCTGTATAACATTATATCGTAGATAATGTTTCTTTTTACTTTTAAGTTTATACATACTATGTATATATATATATATATATATATAATATATACAATTTGTAAAATATATACATACTATAATCCGAACTCCTCGCCTGTTTAATCCGAACAGGGTGAAAATATTGAGTGTTCGGATTATCTAGGCCTTACTGTATATAGTTCTTTTAAATTGCAAATATCTACTTACAATTTTTGGTTTGAAAGGTGGTTGTACTTCTCTATTTTCAATTCTCTCCCAATCAATTCTCCTAAAGAATGGATGACCTCTTACATCTTCTTCTCCTCTATTTCCACATCCCAACCTTTTGTTTGGGTTTTTAGTTAGAAACTGGAAAAGTACAATAATAAAATCGGCAACAGTAGATATTGTTTAAGCCTCACTCCTTTGCACACGTCTTTTGCTTCCTTCGATAATCCTTTAGGGTAACTAACATTGTGATCTGTGATAGAAGCGAATAGTTCCTCTTCGTCTTCTCCATCAAATGGTGGCTGACCGACTAGCATTTCGTACAGTAGTACTCCATACGCCCACCAATCGACTGACTTACCATAAGGTTGATACAAAATAATCTGAGGAATAATTTATTATTAATAGTAAAACACAGAGACTGCAAATAAATAAATGCTAAAAATTGAGGGGATGACTGTTGAAGAATAGGAGAGGGTTCATTTACAATTTCTATGATATTTATTTCTATGGAAGATATTTTGCTATAAAGGGTGAGTATTAAATATGTGCAAATATTTTTAGAGGTGATATATTTCGACCCCAGGATACGTCTATAAGATTTTTTTTGCAAAAAAAGATGTTGAAAATCGCGCATTTCCTTTTAAATGTTCCTGTATATTTTAGAAAACTTTTTAGAACTGCCTGTTCACCGCAAATTTTCCCACGGTATAATTTCTTAATCTCTGATATTACCATGATTACGGCTTTACTCTATGGTTGCGGAACTAATAGTCTAAGAGCTATATAGCAACGTTTTCGAGAAAAGAAGATTTTAAGACGTCTGGCTCTTTGATATATCTTTTACTATGCTCTCTGGAACAGCATGCGGCCCGTCTGGCGGCCGATATCCGTTGCGTTCACTACTGCACATTGGAAGAAGAGCCTATATTTGTTTTTTAATTTAGTCCTATAAATTCTAGTATTGAATATAAATCGAACATATCTCCAGTGCAGTGCGTAAAGTTTCCAACTACGAACCGACGGACGATTCAGAGTTCGAACCTGGGTCAGGGCAAAGACTTTTTTATTTTATTTTCGTATATATTCTGAGAGTAAAGTATTAAATAATTCTGGTGATTAAAAAAACAAATATTTAATACTTTACTATCAGAATAAAAACGAAAATAAAATAAAAAAGTGTTTGTTCCTGACCCGGATTCGAACTCTAAATCGTCGGTTCGTAGTCGGAAACTCTACGCACTGCACTGGAGATATGTTCGATTTATATTCAATACTAAAATAGGACTAAATTAAAAAACAAATATAGGATCTTCTTCCGATGCGCAGTAGTGAAAGCAACGGATATCGGCAGCCAGACGGGCCGCATGCTGTTCCAGCATGCTGAATCGTCGGTTCGCAGTCGGAAACTCTACGCACTGAGCTATGGAGACTCGGTCGGTTTATATTCAATACTAGAATTTAAAGGACTAATAAAATATAGGATCTTCTTTCAATGCGCAGTAGGGAACGCAACGTTTACCGGCAGCCAGACGGGCCGCATGCTGTTCTAGAGAGCATATTAAAAGATATATCAAAGAGCCAGACGTCTTAAAATACTTGTTTTTCCCCGACGTTGCTAGCTCTCGTACTATAAAAGCGTATGCAAATATGGAAAAAGTCGTATCTGTGGCTCTCAATTTTATTTTAATTAAATATATTTTTTTAAAGAAATCAAACTTGAATAACTCGGTTATTTTGGACTGATTTGAAAAACAGTAAAGAGAAAATATGATTCTTTTATCGGGATCTACCAGCCCTGAAAATATTTACACTTATGTAAGACTTACCATGTATAGGGTGGCCCAAAATCACATTGTAACAACTTATTTAAAAAACAGCATGCACTAGAAAATATAAATTTAAGTATGTCACTAATCAAATCGCGTTTCTAGGTAGAATTTTTATTTGTCATATACCGGATGTTTAAACAATTAATCAACTCGCAATATTATTCTGCATTTCACTCAATTTATGTTTTGTTAATGTTAGAAATTTATTGCGTTTAGTGTTAAGAGAGTGCAAGAACAAGACTAAGACTTCCTTGGTCTTGGTCTGGTCTTGGTCCAGCCTTAGTCTTAGTCTTGCAGACTAAGATTAAGGTTACTCATTAACTGCAACTAATAAATCTCAAAACTTGACATACGATATGTCATTCTATTCATAGTGTCATTTTCTATCGAATAAAGTAAAAAATACCGAGAGTGACATATGAAAATCACAAGTTGTAGGTATTTCCGGTAAAACAGGAATTTACCGAAAACAATTCAATACTTCAATCAGTCCTGATTTGTGTTATATACTAACATACAAAATCTCGTTTATTTATCTGAAAAAATAAAAAGTTATAGGAGTGAGTTTTAACACCCTGTATAAAATTAATTTTATGAACGCAATTTAAAAAAATTCCATTTGCCAATTTCAATTTTCTAGCGCTAGTCGTTTTAGAAGTAGACAAATAATATTGCCATTTTGGGTGACCCTATAACTAAATAACTCTGTAAGAAATATACATCATCACAAACTAACTTAAACAGATGCGACACCTTATGGGAAATTTTGTGTTCAAAAAGACCTATGTTCGGAAGTGCGACGACAGAGCGGCGATACCGTCGATGAAGGCAAAATATTCGGCCAAACAAACAGCCGTGGTGACTTCAAATCGTTCCCGCACACCCCCTTCCCGAAGCTTCGATTTCTTTCGTTCTTTCTCGCATTTAACCTTGCCTTTGATACACCGCGCCGCCTCGTCTGGCCGTCGCAGCCGACGTACGATAATAAAGTCAAAGCGAGATTGCCAGCTTGAATTTTTTTTATGTGAGAATTAAATATTATATGTACTTCTTGTATTAGCGCTTTCTCCTGGATAATAATAAATAACTATAATTACATGATGTTAGGAAATATCAGCTAATATTTATTTGTAAAGTATGAGAAATTTTCAAACTTTAACAATGGGTTAAGATCAATACATATGTATAAAGAAAATGACCATATCTTTAAAATTAGAAATGATATAAAATATCAGAAATATAAAATTCTTAAAGAATAGGATCTTTGTTGTCAGCTTGCCGTTTGTATTTAGCTGTACTTCCAGCTGTTAATTTCAAATATTAATCTAAAGTCTATCTACTATTAGATAGCTTAAATTATCTTTAATTATTTTTATATCCTGCTTGTTAATAGTTTTATGCACTACTATCATTTTATTTGATATTTTAAATTGATTTAAAATTTAGCAGCTGATCTTTTATATAGCAAATAGGTACTTTTATGATACAGACACGGCATATTGTTTGCATGTGCCGTGATACCGATATAGTTTATACAAATTGGTAAGTAGAATTGGCAACAGTGTCCTAGAAAAAGAATATGGGAATCTAAGATGGGAATATTGAAGGTTTTCAGGGGATTTTTAAGTCAGTTTCTTCAGTTGTTTCACATGGATATTACATACATCATTATTATTAGCTGTTTCCGATTTTAATTTTCCGTTGGGTTTTGTTGGTTTACATTTAGTTAGTTCACGGTGTTCTTAATATTGTTTTAGTTAATTCATCTATTCAGTTTAAGTTTCTTGTTTTGATTTTATTTAAAATGCTTTTAAAAAAATGTGCTTTCAATGGATGAGAAAACATTTCACTAAAAACTGAAGAAGATACATTTTTTAGATTTTCTAGGACTAAATTATATCAAAAACTGTGGGTGTTTTTTTCCGAAAATACCTAGATTTTCTAATACGAAAAAATCGAATAGACATACAGTTCGATCAAATAATCGACTTATTAACTAGGTACATAAACTTTGTAAAAATATTATACTTCTATGCCAGGTAGTAATAAATTTTCATGCCAACTTTCACCCCTATATCATCCCCGAGATGAGGAATTTTCAAAAATTTCCATTAACATACAAACTGGATAAAATGTTCTCACATTTATGTCCTGAGCCTGAGAAAAACAATATGGCGATATTATTATATAACTTGGTAATATTTGACGGGTAGTTTCATCTCGTTGGAATTTGACTTTCGAAAAATCTGTTTGTCAAAAATAATTTTTTTTACGTCAAGCAGTTAAGCAGAATCGTAGTTAATCAATTACCCAACTTTTGAACACCCAGTATGATTTTTTAAAAAATTCAAAATATGTAAAAAACAAAATAAATTATGCGTGTCCAAGCGTTTTCCCGAAAGACTAACCGTTTTTTAAATAACAAATATTGTAATATTTGAGGGACATTTTCACCCTCTTGGAATCGAAAAAATCCTCCTTATGGAATCTCTACACCCCACAGTCAATCCGTTTGCCAAAAATCATCAGCTTTAAACGTCAAGCAGTTTAAGCAGAATCGTGATTACTCAATGGTCATATTTTATGAAACACCCTGTATAAATTTTTAAAAAATCTTAAAATATGTAAAACAACAAAATAAAATATACGTTTTTAAGAGCTTTTCCGAAAAATTCATCAGTTTTTAAATAAAAAATATTCTAATATTTGAGGGGTGGTTTCACCCCCTTAGAATTCGAGTTTCGAAAAATCCCTTCTTATCGAACCTCTACACCCTAAAGTCAATTCGTTTTCCAAAAATCAGCTTTTTACGTCAAGCGCTTTAAGCAGGATAGTGATTAATCAATGACCAGATTTTTCGAAACACCCTGTATACATTTTTAAAAAATCTTAAATTATGTAAAAAACAAAATAAAATATACGTGTTTAAGCGTTTTTTCGGAAACTTGACCGTTTTTTAAATAAAAAATATTGTAATATTTGAGGGATGGTTTCACCCCCTTGGAACTGGAATTTCGAAAAATTTCTTCTTATCGAACCTCTACACCCTAGAGTCAACCTCTATGCCAAAATTGAGCTTCTTACGTTGAGTGGTTTGAGCAGGATCGTGATTAATCAGTGAGTCAGTCACTTAAGAATTTTATATATTAGTAGGTATAGATTGTGAATGTATAAAAATTGAAAAAAACTAATGAAATTAAAATCATCTCTATTTGATTCCGAACTACAAAATTCCCTCTCTATTTTCTACACAAAGGAGGCGTGGTTTCTTAGTAAACGAATGGAGGTTACTTTGCTGGTCCGCTGTAAAATTCGCCTATATGACAAATCTAACGGAAAAATTTGCCTGGCGCATTCGCCAAAATGTAATTTTTACATTTGCATTGTTTGTCGCATCTGTTTAGGTTAGTCTGTGACATCATGTAACATGACATCGAAAAATTTATTTGAAAATCTCTTATTTTTTAACAAGAAATCGCCTCCTGAATTTTTTCGCACTTGTCCATTTACGTCTTGTATATAAAACATTTTTTTTACCTCTGGAGCAATGTAATCAGGCGTGCCACAGAATGTTTTTGTAGTCTTATCTCCATTTATTCCCTCTTTACACATGCCAAAATCTGCAATTTTAATGTGACCATCTTGATCCAAAAGAACATTATCCAATTTCAAATCTCGATATACTATTCCTCTGCTATGCAGGAAGAAAAGCCCTATGGCAATTTCTGCGGAATAAAATCTAAAAAAAATAATTTTTTGTTATAGAATCGCCGAAAAAAAATCAAATATCATAGTAAAATATATAAAAATTATTAAGACATCATAACCTACACGGCTACTGGTTCTTTAAACTTTCCACACTGCTGAATTTGAAACATTAAATCGCCACCATTGACATATTCCATAACAAAATATAACCGATCCTAAAACAAAAATAAAGGTTATATGAATATTATGTCTAAAAAAGAATTCTAGGTTTTTCGCCACTAGCGGGAAATCTACAAGAAAAATATTTTTTGTTATCACACCTCAGCACTGATTCAAACGGAAACCAATTTGTCAGTGGTATTTTACTAGTGAAAAAATTTGCTTAACCGATAAAGAATGCTTAACGTTTCAGGAAGTATATCTCCTTTCGTCGTCAAAAACAAAAAAGACATAACTATTTAAAATAAAGAAAATATGTACAACTATTCAAGAGCAATTTAGTTTTTTTTAATATTATTAAGAATGTAATTATAATTAAGAATATTTAGCAAAATAAAACACTAAATCACCACAATACACCAAAACACATTTACTTTTACACTGGATGCGCGTTTCGCTAACCATGTTAGCATCATCAGCAGATGATTATAAACTGATTATAAAACTCAGTTTATAATCATCTGCTGATGATGCTAACATGGTTAGCGAAACGCGCGTCCAGTGTAAAAGTAAAAGTTTTGGTGTATTGTGGTGATTTAGTGTTTTTATTTTGCTGTGTAACACCAAAGGTTCCAACCCTCAACTGTAATCTAAGAATATTTAACTGATGGCATTATATGAAGTCAAACTTCAAATTATACATTACTACCTGATAAAAATTACTTAATGAGGTAAAACCAAAAAGCTTTAAACTCATTGTATGTTTTTTTTGTATATGATTTTTGTATGTTCTTGTTTGTTTTTAATTTTTACTTATGTTTATTTATGTTGCTTATTAAACAAAACTTTCAAAAAACCCAACACCAACTGTTGAAAAAAATATACAGAAATTTATACAAACACATATAAAATTAGTTGCGGTTTCGGGTAGTAAAAAATAAGTGAAAAAGAATTCGAACTAGACGTCTTGTTGTGTTGTGATAATTTCAAATGTTAATAAAATTGTCCAAAAATGTTGCGTAAATGAGAGCGTAATTAGGGCATTGTTGGGTGCAATAACATTCAATAACTCAACTTTCCCGGATATTCAACTCTCCCGAAACAACATTTTATAGCTTCATAATTTCTTTCACCGATTTGATCAATAGCAAAAATGGATTCAAGCGGTTCGACGAAACGAAGTGAGTGAACAAAGTGCTCGTAACATAATCAAAAAATTAAATAGACATATACTATGAGAGGATGAAATGTAATTTATGCAATATTAATGGTATACTTTTTTATCAACTTTGTATCAACTAGTGATTAAATGTTTTATGAACATCTTCTAAAATTATAATTATGTACCTTTAAAAAATCGTTATAGCTCCAATTATGCTTCACTAGCAAAACCGGTGAGAAAACTATGCTTGCTACCGTAGTTAAACTCATCTAATATTTTTTTGACTAGAATTATAAATTATAATGCAAGTTAGACCTTCTGAAGATATCAAAATATTTACCTTTTTATTTTTTTGTTTAGAATTTCCACAAATTATATTTTTTAACACTTTTAGAATAATTATATACTATTTTTTTCGTTTACTCGCAATTTGAACCAGTGTATTTGTATGTATTCGTTATTTACGATATTCTCCGGAGGTGGCGGCACCGGCGGAGATTGCACCAAGCCTATAGAAACACGAAGTTCGATGAAAACTACGTCTTGGAAGTAGGAATATACAGCTGGATAAAACTAGAGGCATTGGTATAATAAAAAGGTATGGTATCAGCAATAGTATTAATTACCTACTTTGAGATTAATTCTTTGAGGTTAATTCTACTTTGAGATTAATTATGTACCAATTCAAGACTGAACTGATCTAGATACCCACTATTTTTAAGTCTATTATTACCATTAACATATTAGTAAAAAATTAAAAGTATTTTTTTACCTGCAAACATTTCCGTAATACTCGTTTACATAAAATTATTGTTAAAATCTATAATCTTAATGATAATTAATTTATTATAATAAACAGACTCTAAATATATAGAATAATTACGTAGTATCATTTTAAGCCTATTTATATATAAATTAGATTAAGTGCTACCTTTAATTTACTTTAAACAACTCTTTCTTTACGTTCTTTCACTTTAATTTCATTATGCACGCTAATACAAAAATAAGCTAATGCAATTAGAGTAAGCTCCATTTACTAACATCGATTATCTATATCTACAGTACCTATAATTTAACATTCGTGACGAGCATAGTCCATAACAATAATACAATGAAGGGTAACATTAATAGATTATTAGATATATTAATGACTGCTATAAGTCGGCTTTTCACAATTCCTTAGTGCACGATCGACATATTCTTAAAACACTATACCATATAATTTGCTAATTTCAACGTTTTGATACGTAATATAAATGTATGATATAACACGAATTAAGTAATATTTTCGTTTTTAATAATATATACCGTACGATCGAAAAAAAAACGTCGCCAAAGACGGCTGGGGAATTGTTGAAGACGGTTGTTGATTATTTGAGCGAGGACAAGCCCAATATATCATTTACTACAGCCTTTCCTAAGACTAATGGGCAGTAGGCCACCATTTAAAATTCATTTTTACTCAATATAAAAATGATTTTTAAATAATTAATTAATATGTCACTAGTTTTGACGTAGTAGTGACGTCTAGAGATTAACCTCGCCAAAATTATTATCCATTGTCATTCCCCAACCGTCTTTGACGCCTTTTTTTCGATCATATTGCATTATCCCACAAATTTCTTGGCTAATTTTATGTAGCTGCCAACATCATGTTGCGTTTTACCAAACCTAAACGACCAAGCTTGAGAAAATTAAATAAAAAAATACATAAGAGTATAAGAGTAAAGATAAAAAAAAGAAAGCAAGAAACTTAGATCCAAAATTATTCCGAGATCAATCTAGGGAAACCATATAAATAAAGAATTGGAAAGTATTGTCAGTACAAGTGACGCTGAGAAACATTGAGCAAGATTTCAAGAACACAAATGAAAATCTTCTCACAGATAATGGAACAACGGAAAAAAAACGAGTAGATGAATAAAGATATTTGAAACTTGATGGAACAACAAAGACAATTTAAAAACCGGAATAACCACAAAAATTAGAGGGTGTCCCAATATTTCCTGGACACAAAAATACTACGTACTTTTGGATTCAAAATAAGTTCACTGGACACAATTTTACCTCTATACAAAAGTGCTACGTCTGTCCGCTAAAAAGCATCAAACTTTAAAAAATAAACACATTTTTCACATATTTTAAGAACAGTTATTCCGATTTGAAATCGAAACTTCGAAATCATCAAGAAGAGGAAAATAGCCTATTTGATACACATACTACGTGGAGAACGCTATCACTTTCAGCGGCTAATTCTCCAGGATAAAATCGAAGAAGGTAAAATGGGAATAGGTGGAAGAAAGCTATCCTGGTTGAGAAATATTCGTCACTGGACAAGCCTAATAAAAAACCAAAAATACAAAAAATCGATTTTTAATAAAAAAAATAAAAAATACAAAAAAAAGTTTTTTTTATTATAGGAGCTACAGATGCCCGACGCACTGTTGCCGGGCTCGTAGGAAAAACTTTGAAATGTGGCAACACCTAGTTGCGGCTGGTTTTTGACAGGCACCCTGTGAAAAGTGTATTCTCCTATTCATAAATATACGTAAAAATTAGGTCTTGATAACGTACAATGAGCGTAACAATCATGCAGCCGGATCCTGTACTATAAGTACTATAGAATAAGCTTAAATTCTAATTTAAAAATTAATAACTTAAATTTAATTTCTGTAATTGTGTAAAAAAATTGTCTAGGTTTTTAGGTATGTTTTATTTATTTTGAGATTCGGATTAACCTCCAATGGAGGGTAAAGATATGGAGAATCATCTCTTATGGGACTTTGTTTGAAACGTGGTCACCTAAAAGGGAAAAATAAGGGTTCATTAAATAACCACAGTGGCGCTAATAAGCAATAAAAGATTAAACTGAACTTAGTCGTTATAAAGTGACACAGGGTGCTACAAATTTGAGGTACGAGCATTGGTATCTCGGAAACCGTAATAGATACGAAGATAGTTAAATTGGGGCAAAGTTGCGCCTTGAGATGTTCATCAAGATGCTATCAAAAATATTTTAAAAATTTCAGGGATTGCTGAGTTTTTCGGAAAAAACGGATTTTTTGGAAAATCAATTTTATATTTTCCCGTCGTTACTTTTTAGAAAATCAAAAAACTGATTACGCGTTCTCATACAAACTTTATTAGGGCTATCTGATAGTACTTTTGGATTTTCAAATTTGCTGATAATTTGTGAGATACAGAGGCCAACTTAATTTTTTTAAATACCGACCTGCATTTTTTTATTTCAAGTTTTGAAAGAACTCGGTCTCCTGAGTATAATAATATGCACACTTGATACTTTTTTTTTGTTTTGGGTACCTTAAGAACAACAAAACTATTTAATTATTATTTAAAATAATTTCAAGTACGACTCTGGTTTTTTAAATTATTTAATCTGATCATATTCATCGCAACAATATTGATCAGCGCTAATTAACATCGAATGAGGAAAATCGAGCCAATTCAAAGATTCGAGTAAATAATATCCAGGTCTTTTTTTATTGTGAATTTGGAATCTCAGTGTACGATCTAATAATATCCATAATATTAATCGTAGTTATTATAAATAAATTAACTTCTATAAACTAGTTTCTAATGCTCTACATGTTCGAAAAGGTTACCACCCTCACAAATGCACAAATTTATTTTTTGTTCAATCTTATTTATAGCTCTTCTATTATTTTTTTCTCTTATATAACATAACTTCTTGTTATACTTCTGAATGTATTTTGTACTCTTTATTGTAAATGTTGAAATGTGTTGATTTCACTTTTACAAATGACGCCAAGTAATGCCCCTTCAATTATTGCATTTGATTTTCTGTATTCCACGTCATTGGTAAGTTTGAAAGCTTATCAATATTGTAACGAAGAATAGATTAAATCTTGAAAAAAAAACAGAGCCGGACTTGAAATTAGTTTAAATAAAGTATGTTCAAATGTCCGAAACAAAAAAAATATTAAATGTGGCATATCATTGTACTCAGGAGACCGAGTTCTTTCAAAATCTGAAATAAAAAATACAGGTCCGTATTTAAAAAAATTAAGATGGTCCCTGTATCTCACAAATTATCAACTAATTTGAAAATCTAAAAATACTGCCAGATAGCCCTAATAAAGTGGCAATGAGAATGTGCAATTAGTTTTTTGATTTCCTAAAAAATAACGCCAGGAAAAAATAAAAATTATTTTTAAAAAAATCCGTTTTTTCCAAAAAAGTCAGCAATCCTTGAAATTTAAAAAAAAAATTGATGACATCTTGTTGAACATCCCAAAGCGCAACTTTACCCCCCCCCCCCATTTTAACCATGTTCGTATCTATTACGGTTACCGAGATAACGAGGGTGTTACCGATGTAACACCCTGTATAGTCAAAAACGAGTAGCAACACGCGCCTTCAGAAATCGCAAATTTATATATCTCTTTTTAATTATTTCCTGTTCTAAAAATGTTTGGCGCTTCTTTTAAGTGTAAAACTTTTGGTACAACAGCGCCATCTTAATTGTTCCTTCTTTGATGACCGCTTTTCAATACAAGAAGATAATCCTCCTTACCTCTATCCTCCATAACTAAATTAAACAAAAAATATATGTAAACTACTTTACATAAGATCAAAATAAAACACTAATTCACCACAATAAACCAAATCACTTTTACTTTTCCACTGGCCGGGCGTTTCGCTAACCATATTAGCATCATCAGCAGATGATTAAAACTGAGCTTTAAAAGGGAGTATTAAAACTGACTTAAAAAAAATTTATATAAAATATTTTGCAAAAACATAAAAAATATCTCTTACCATAGTTTGAAAACAGGAATGCAGTTGTACTAAAAATGGTGGTTTACTAGACAACGCCAATACTCGTTTTTCAACCATAGTGCATTCAACGTCGTCGTCTTGTATTATAATATCTTTCTTCAGAATCTTAATGGCATACAGTTCATCTGTACCTTTTCTTTCTGCGAGCATAACCTAAAAGTTTTTTCCACACATTTTTAGATATATATATCGGGTGCATCCCAAAAGTGGCTCATCCCTATATATTTTTAATTTTTTTAATTAAAAAATGAACTATGGTCTGTAAGTATGTGACATAAACTAGGATTGAATGGCGGATTCAATTAGTTTCAGTCACCCCCTATTTCACCGAAAATAAGAACAGCTTTTGATTTTTAAATGTCATCCTCGGTATTTGTTTACTTTATTTGATAAAAAAATACATTGTGAATAGAATGACGATCATAATATGTCAACTTTTGACATTTTTAATTAAAAAAATACCATTTTAAATTTCAGTCTAAGAGTGTTAAAAGAGTTAAAAGGATTATCATTAATCAAAAAACTTTGGAAAAGTTAATTTCATCCTCTAATGTGTTTTGTATCTATTCTTAGCCGGTTAAAAGATGCCTAAATTGTATTTTTAATTATTATAACTCAATTTTTTTCAAATTGTTGTTTTTTAAAAACGAGGGTGGCTCATTAGCATATTGGGAAAAGATTTTTTTATGAATAATTTGGTATAGTAAACGCCACGAATGTTTGGGAGTGATTCATCGGTCGCTACCATGTGAACTAATCTGTTCAAGGTCACATAAAACTTAATTCCAGTGCCGTGGTGTTTCAGGTCATATAATAATCAATATATAATCTGTTGTAATTTGTTGTTTTAACTGTCAAAGTCTTGTCAAAACATATATTTGGTTATAAATATATAAATGGTGTGCTTGTAGTGCGACCAATGGACTGACGCACAAAAACGAATCAATCAAAGAAACGCGATATAGTATCGTCTTTATCAATCACGCTAACATTTTAGAATAAGTAGGAGGAGCGCAGGCAGATGATTAGACTGGGCCTTTCAAAACCTACGTCTGCGGTAAAAATTTACGTTTTTAATGTGAAAATGATAGCGCGCGTGTCGATTCTAATTTCATCAAGCGATGAGTCACTCCCAAACATTCGTGGCGTTTGCACTAACGATTTTCTTTAAACGAAAGAATTATAATAGAATTATTAACTTTTAAATAGCTTTACTGAAGAAATAAGAAGGTTTAGGTACAATAACATGATATATCATTAAAAAGCAATTTTATTTGGGTTTCGATTTTTTAAATTATATACATAGATTTGAATTTAAATAACAATAATTTCAACGGTTTTGTAACAAACGGAAATAATTGTTTTTTCTGACCTGCCTGTTTTGATATTCAATCAATTGAGAGTTCGAATGTTTAGACAGATCGAATATGTCGACTTTCCTTAACGTATGAACTAAATTTTAGCTTTGAATATGTCGAATTTATGATTTAATCAATCAAGATTTTATTTTTGTCAGTTTTACACATGTTTTATTTTTATTTCAAAAACTATAACATTGATTGGAATAAGTTAGCATAATGGAAAAATTTTGAGATATGAAAGTAGTTTTGAAAAATATAATAATATACCGGATGTTCCAGAAAATAACAAAGATGGTACCACTTTTAGTATGAAGCGACAATATTGTATTGCTAAAAATAATTTTAGACAGATAGAGCAGGTTTTTTTTATACAAATATCCAAATTTTCAAAAAAATCCTATCACCGGTTATCAATATATAACAATATTTTTATTATAACATTATTATTTAAAAAAACACATCTGTTACAAAATTCACCTTTATTATATATTTTTTATATTATTTTTAATATCGGTCTATCATAAACACACGAGTTATGAATAATGAACTCCATTTCTACAACGCAAAAGTTTAAATATCGCTACGAACTCCGATGTTTCTCTCTAAAAATACGAAAGGTAAATTTAATTTTGAATTCCTTAGGGAACATAAATCATTAACTGGAACGGCAAGATATATGAGCATAAACACGCATTTGGGAAGGGAGCAGTCTCGACGAGATGACCTGGAAGCGTTGGGCCATATGTTTGTCTATTTTCTAAGAGGGTCGTTGTTTCAGGTCATATAATAATCAATATATGATCTGTTGTTTTGTTGTTGTAAAGTCTTGTCAAAACATATATTTGGTTATAAATATAAAATGGAATGCCCCATTGGTCGCACTACAAGCACACCAATGGACTGACGCACAAAAACGAATCAATCAAAGAAACGCGATATAGTATCGTCTTTGTCAATCACGCTAACATTTTAGAATAAGTAGGAGGAGCGCAGGCAGATGATTAGACCGGGCCTTTCAAAACCTACGCCTGCGGTAAAAATTTACGTTTTTAATGTAAAAATGATAGCGCGCGTGTCGATTCTAACTTCATTAAGCGATGAATCACTCCCAAACATTCGTGGCGTTTACACAATTTCGAGTAAAACTATCTTTACATTTATGACCGTACCATACTAGATTGAAATTTAAAGTACTATTGTTTTATGCAAAAATGTTGAAAGTTAACATATGTATGTATTTTATCCAGAATGCCATTTTCAATCTAATAAAGTAAGAAAATACCGAGGGCACCATTTAAAAATCAAAAATTTTAGGCATTTCCGATAAAACAGGAACTGAACTAAACTAAGTTAATACCTCAATAAAACCCCAGTTATATTACATTACTAACATACCAAACCTAGTTTTTTATATGAAAAAAATTGTGTGTGCACTATGTGCGCATATTTGAAATGAAACTTCTTATTAACAGTTATTAACAGTTATTAATAGTTGAAGATTACAGGGGAAAAACGATCTAACTCACATTTTCTTACTTTTGAGATAAATGATTTTGAAACTTTAAAGACTAAACGAAAAGAAATAATAAAATGTAGCGAATCGTAAAAGTTTTTTATCAATAGTTATATGTATAGACATTAACTGGTTAACAGACAAAACAAAGAAAAATAATTTGTAGCAAATTTGTTAGATAAAATAAAACTCGTATTCTCTTGGTTCAATGGAAAAGTGATCCAAGTCCATATGGAATAATTCTGTATGTGGTTACTCGAAAATTACTCGAGCTGGAATAAAGAGAAAAATATGGTTTTAATCTCATTTTTTTATTAATATTGTTATTATATTTTCTTAATATTTTTTTATTTATTTCTTATTTTTATTATTATTTTTTTGTTAATATTATTAGCATTAGATTATTTTTTACTTAGGAATGGCAATTTGTTTCTGATAAAATGAAACTACACTACTAGACAGTTCCCTTATGGTTCCACTAGAACCATTTCCAGAATTTAATTTCTTTGAATTTAAAACTAGTGACACAATAGACATAATCAAACTTCTTTCCTTAAGCAGAAATAAAAGCAATATAGTTTAATTGATATTACTCACCATATCTGCATCGTTTAGATGAGCATTGTTTGACACACAAGGCAAATTTGTGTAGTAGTCTTGCAGAGATTCATCTACGAACTTTTTCATAGATTGTAACTGCTCATACTTGAGTTTAGGCAAATGAATTAGGTCAGCATAAAGTTGTTGTGGTGCTGAATATATAGCTATTTTTATTCGTTCTGTATGCGTTGATTTGTTTACAAACATGAAATATGAACTTGGATCGGTCTTTCGTGAATTCACGTGGACTTTCTACTATTCTGATCGCTTTTCCAAAGTATTAATATTTTAATCGCTGATTTTAGTAGACTCAGATCATTTTTTCAGTGAACATTATTCCTATTTTGGAACGGACACTTGATGGGCATAAGATGACAGTGTTATCTCAATTTCCATTTTTTTTGACTTAATCCTTTTTTCCCGTGTAGTCTTTAGTTATTAAATTGAAGGATTTGTAGAACATGTTTGAAATGGTGTAGATTGAAATATTGAAAACGTAATAAATTAAAATTTAATAAATAATCTGATTCACGTTCACAAAATTTGTATTAATTAATTAAAAAAAAATAAATTAAATTTAAAAAAAAATAAATTAAATTTTAAAAAAAATGAAATTAAAAAAAATAAAACCAACCCAACCCAAATGACCGTCTCTCCATCACGTCAGTTCGTCTGTCCGTCTGAGGACTCCATTCGGGTACCTCTATCCACGTGCCGAGTTTGGTTCCAATCGACCCATAATTAAGAAAAATCCAGATAATTTTGTCCATTTAGAGGCATCGGTTCGAAACGTCGAGGGCGTCATCCTGTAACCCGTCCGCAATTATGCCGAAATCGACACACATTTTTATTGAATATCAAATCCTTAGTCCCACTCTGATGAAGATGTAAACGAAACTTCGTATCCAACTTTGCAAGGTGGGACCCTGTAGACCGTCGCTCCCATAGCCTACCCACCAAATTTGGTAGCGATCGGACATCAACTTTTGACGTTTCTTACGTCAAAACTGTCACAGTTGGCCTAGGTCCAATCTATCGACATACCAAATTTCATTTAAATCGGACAAATTACCACTTTTCCTATCGTGTGTCGTGTCACAACTTTGAATTTTTACTTCCAGCGCGCGTAAAGAAGTTTAACTTCAAAAATAAATAAGTTATAGGGGTGAGCCATTTTTGAAAAAAATCCGGTATTATAAATCTATAAACAACAATTTATATTTCAAATATGTATTAAACGGTTATTGATTTTAGAGTTTGTGCCAAAAAAAGTTCATAAAGAGTGTTTAATCTCTTGTAACAAGAATTGTTGCAAAAACTTAAAATTATCACAACTTTGTTTTCGTAATAGAAAAATGTATCTATTTAATAATGCATACCTTTCCAAACGACCCTTTTCCTAAAACCATAAGAAAATTGAAATCTGTAGCTCTAATAATATCTTTTTTACCCATATTATGTGGCACATCTTTATCTTGAGTGATGGAAGGCTTTTTTGTTATTGAAGTTTTCTAGAATAAAGAGCAAAAATTAAAAATTTTGTAAGCAATAATGTAACTAACTTAATAATGTAATTAAGAAATACTGTACTATATTGTCGATTTTTTCGAAATATACACATCTGATATCTTATTGTTCTTATTCTCCATTATGTATCTTAATCTCCATAATGTATTGTAACATATATTTCTGGCCATATGTATTTATAATAAAATAAAACTTAAACACTAAGAGAAAAAATCATATAATGACTCGTTTATAAAAGTTGTTAAAGAAATGTCTTTCAGATACAAAAGAATTATGAAAACTCTATGAAAAAATAATACTTCTTTCTACCTTATTGTTTTTCACTTGTTCTCTGTTATTCAATAGAAATAAACACCTGTAATAAAACTGTATACTTGAATTCCATTGACATACCATTTTTATGATTAGGTACAGATGTATATTTAATATCATATGATATGTATTTCTAGCGGTATCTATTTCTAATACGGTAAAACTTAAAAACTAAAATATAAATCAAATATTCAGCCATTTATAAAACTGATTCGAAATGTATTCTATTCTAAAAAGAATTCGAATCCAAAAAGATTCAAATGTATTCGTTTCAAAAAATATTCGAAAACAAAGTATTTGATTTTAAAAATTATCAGATTCTCTCCTCGCTAGTCCGTGTTCGGTTTTTATAAGTTTCCGGTAGGTAAAGCTAGTTTTAGATGAAATTTCCATATACAGTGGAAGTTCCTTAGCTAGAATCTCCAAGTTCCAATGAACTATTCCGACCTCAGAACGAAAGGAACTAGTTCCTGGTTTTTTAAAAGACTAATTCCTCAGGACCTATTCCGAGGACTGCGTCTGTATGTGACTGAGATATAATAATATGCGAAGGCGACAAATCGGCCAGTGCGATCGTAGCCCGATGCTAGGCAGGAGTGAGGAGTGCCAGCCGTATGTTATCGTTCCAAGACCGAGAGGAACTAAATAAAAGACTAGTTCACAGACGGATTAGCCAGCATGATCGTAGCCCGATGCTAGGCGGGAGTGAGGAGTGCCAGCCGTATGTTACCAGTCCCAGACCAAGAGGACCGAGGTTAACCAGAGGAACTAATTAAAAGACTAGTTCACGGAAGTCTATTTAATCCGTAGTTCCGAGATATAATACAAGACGACGAAGAAGATATTATATCTCGGCTTTGTATATGGCCGCGGCCGGCGTAATTACCACAGAAAAGTTGTCGTGGATACTGTTTTTAATGTTTTGTTTGTTCTTTGAATACTTTATGAAAATTTATTAGTTGCACCAATTGATTTGTCATATATAGTTTTTTTTTTAAACTCCGATTTGAGTGTCTTTTTTATTTTTTTTTGTTTTTATTGCTCTATGTTTTTAAGATACGCAATTACATGTCTCATTATATTTCGTATATTATAAAAATTATACAGATCATAACTATGAATAGTTCTGACTTATTGCCAAACTCATGAGGAAGCAACGGGGATGGCAATGTTAGTCGGGAACTAATGTGAACTAAAGAATTCAGTAGTTCAAGGAACTACTCGTCTAGAGAAAATAGAACTAAGGAACTAGGAACTTCGTGAATCAATTCGTGATTAAAAATCGAATGATAATGTTAAAATAAAAACATATAAGATTGGAACTTAATAAGCGAGGTTATTTCAAAAACGAGATAGAGAAGTTTCACTGTAGATGATTTGGAGAAACTATCCGTTCGTTATAAAAGAATGCCAATTAAAACAGCTTTTCAAGCAAATAAATCATTACCCTCATTTGAGTCTTAATCTGAGCCAAATCCGCTCCTTCTTCGGGAACTGGAACATTATAAAACTCGCCTTCCTCTTGAGTGAGCAACTTAAACCATCCGTCAGCTGGCGCCTTCAATATTTCCGAGATGCCGAACGACAGGGAGCCCATAAAATCGTTTCGCGAAGTCCTGTCCCAATCCCAGATTTCGATCAGGAGTCTGCGATCCTTATCCTCAGCTTTTAAATCGCTGTAATAAAAAAAGGAGATTGTTAGATGTAAAATCTCTTATTTGGAAAATCACTTAGGGATGTGGGTTTTTACATTTTCTAAAAACGTAAAAAATATACTTTATCTCTTGTTAATTTATCTTATATTCGTTTTGTTATTGCTAACATAATTTTCTTATTATACAGTGTGGTTCATTAGTGCTAGGAAGTCCAATAATATAGTCGTTGTTGAAAAATACCTATATAAAAAAAGTTTTATACAAGGTGTTTCAAAAAACATGTGCCGTCTCTCGTGGGGAGATTCCTCACGTAAAAATAAGATTTAATTTCCATGTCAATATAGGTCCGTTTCTGCTTTGTTTCGTAGCTACAGGGTGTTAAAATATTAATTATTTTTCAATTTATTATACTTTTCTTCCAAGTACTTTTAGTGATTCGAATTAAATTTTGAGGGTAAAAGTTACTAAAGTGCTACATATTTTAATGCTAAAAAAGTGTCGATAAACTCATCAGGGACGTGCACATGGGTTATCACTGAAATATTTTTCAAAAAAAAATTGCGCTACTGACTTTTTTCTTTTGATATCAAAATTGTGTAGGCCGTTTGATGCCAATTAAAAGTTATCTCTTGATATTTTGTCGAATTCAGCCACCTTGATGAGATAAACGCAATTTTATTAATCACAATTAATAAAATTAAAATAAAAATAAAATTAATAAATTACTTATTTTACCTAATTTATTATGAAATATTATTACCATTAGTTATTATTACTATTAGTCCAATCTACAGCAATTTCTAATAAAAAAATAATGGTATTTAAGATCATTACAAAAAATCTAATTTTAAAAATGTTTAACATCCTTTGTAACTCTAAAACTATATGCATTTGCATACCCATGTTTATAGGAACTTTTTTCACATTTTTTGATGAGGAATCAATGAGTACTTATTTAAAACTATCGCATGTTAATGACATTAAATATTTTAAAACGTTGCTATTAGAGTTGGATCAAGGCAAATTAAAAAAATTGTGTTTGTCATCAAGGAGGCCGAAATCGACAAATTATCAAGAGACAACTTGTAATCGGCATTAAACTGCTTACACTATTTCGCTAACAAGAGAAAAAAAAGTCAGTGGCGTACATTCTCTTTTTAGAAAAATATTCGTTTTAACCATTTTTATAAAATATGTAAAAGAAATGATAACCATATACACAATTGTTATGAGAAATTCTAATGCTGAAAATAAATTAATCCAAATATTTTCAAACTTTATTGTTTTTCACTTATTCTCTATTATTCAACAGTAATAAAGAGCATTAATAAAACTATATAGAATGAGTCTAAAATAAGTGCAAATATTTTAAGGTGTCGAATTATTTTACTCCGAAAATTGAAAAAAACATTTTGTTTAAATTTTCAAAACGACAATTGTTTCTATCAGTTTAATTCACAGGTAAATTGTATTTTCTGTCATTTCTTGTTGTCTGCCAAAATATTCCCTGATTCGTTGGACAGACACTACTTTATCATTCGGGACTCTCTGCATAAAACTAATTATTTTAGGATATGTAACTTTATGAACTATGCAACATTTATATAAAAGGTTTTGTTATAACGTTCTTTATATTTTTTGGGCAACGGCCAGCTATGCCTAAACACTGGTTCCCAATAGACCATAGAAGTGCTGTTGTTCCGGTAGTTGCGGATGCTGTTGTTCCATGGCATGTAAACTTTATTGACACATACCGCTCATTTACGCCGTGCGCCGGTGGCTTAAGGCTTTATAAGATCGGATATCTGGTGAGTAAGAGTCGACTTAGACCTTAGATCTTATAAACCTCAATTTAGAGACACGCAAAGTCAGTAGGTAATTGACAATGATATGGCGGAAGACCGCGGTTCGGATTCCGCGTAAACAAGTAGGTCCCGTCCAGATTGGCCTTAGCGGCAAAAAGGAGACATTGTTTTAATATACCGTATGATCGAAAAAAAAACGGTTGCTTGTAAATTAACATAGATAACATTTTCCATATAATTTTACACATAAAATGTCAGCGATTTTCATTTCATAGCCTTCGTTATTGGTGTTTGTTTTTTCGATCATATTGTCTCTTTACTTTTCATATATGTCATCTTTACTCTTCATATATTTGTCAACGAGGACGATAACAAACTTTTGGTTTTAAAATTAAAACTAATGGACCACCCTGTATATTAAATAATTGAAAATGTAGATTATAAAAAAGAAAAACATCAGAAATAGTTTTTATTAACATTTTTGTAAACGTTTATAAGCCCCTTATTTTGATTAGAAACCTCTTCGCCATCTTCCAAAGTTCGTTATTAAACTTATTTCTTAATTTTTATTCAATGATTCCAACCGACACAGCTTGTCCGTAAAAATAAAGTTAAAACTTTGAGTAGTTTATCAATGCTAAAAATAAATCCATTCAATTACTTACAATGTGAGTGTCTCGTTCCAAACTGGATTTAAGCACGCACGAATTGTCTTCGTTTTCTTCTTGACATTATCCGAATCTCCTGGAATTAATTTCAATTTGACATACGGATCACTAGAACCGTTCGGATCCATCGGAATCAAATTTCTGGCTTGACAAACTGGAAAAGAAAACCATTGGTTAAATCATTTAAATAATAATATAACAAGACATGTTAAAGATAAGTTGGAAAAAGAATTGGAAAAGAAAAACCTTTGCTCACCAGGTAAGGTACCATAACGTGGCATACCGATGCTTTCAAAACCAAAGCAGAAACAGAGATAGGAGTATTTGGATCAAAAACTAAATACTTCAAACCTATGGACATCTACACCAGCATCCTCCTGATTTAAGTAAAAACAATCTTCGGAAATTTTACTGAGTTTTTAACAGGACACTATCCCTCAATGAACACCTAAGTAGATTGAAACTAAGAAACAACGGTGAATATATATATATTATGTGGGGAAAATGGGGATACACCAGAACATCTTATCACTCAGTGCTTCGAGACGACAATCATTCCTGCCATAAACATTGGTACGACTGATATCGGAGATGGAGAACTAACCTCTACAAATCCGTCTCAAATACTGGCTTTTTTCAAAGCCCTGAGACTGTGTGTTGAGTTATAACTCAAGAAAGGGGCGCTCAATAGAACTGTAAGGTCGGGATGATTAATTTCTCCCCTTCCTATACATTCTACATTGTATTTCTATATACCTTCTTCTACATAACTGATAAAAAATGCTTAACGTTTCAAGTGGTAGGTATATCTCCTCCAGTCGTCATTTAAAATGTATAAATACAACTATTCAGCAAGCTTAGTTTTTAGAACACTTCACTTTTTAGTAGATACGTCTATTATAAACCGTTGACGTTCTGTTAATACGATTTTTTTTTTAATCCCTCAATTATTCCATGATAGCTATGGCTATGTTATTTGTTTTTCTTTAAATAGATGGCCACATATAAGTATTTTCTTTATGTTACAGTGGCTGTAGTATCCACTAAATTTGACGTTTAGATTATACTACATTTTTTCCTCCAAAAATTTATTTTAAATAAGAAATTTGCTTGAAAAAAAACTTCTGGTATCTCCGGAAGTGCCGCCATATTGTAAAACCTAGTTGTAAAACAATAATGTGAAAAAATCTCGTATCTTCTAATGCAAGCTCAGTTCCCGACACCTGTATATGTGCGCTATACACGTATACTAGACTCGCATATAATATACTTGTGACCATGAATAGTAAAAGGATTGCAAAAACACAAGATATCTAATGCCGCGATGGCACATCGCCAAGCTCTGGTAGCAACAACATAGAACAAGCGCTCGTTCTCGTCGCCGAATTCCAACTTCCCCGTCCACACTGATCGGAGATCGGCGACGAACGCTCGGAAATCGTCTAATGCCGAATGTGCGGTCGTGCCCTAATGCTGCAAGTACACACTCACCGAGGCGACCGGAGGCGAGACAAAAAATTAACCGTAAGTATATGGTTATTGGTTAGGACCGTCCTGTTTGGTCGCGCCTCGGGTCGCCTCGGCGAGTGTCTACTTGCAGCATAAAGGCGGACTCTGTCGACTAATGTACTTGTACAAATATTTGTTATTGGCATATACTTGCCATGCGGTGTGAGCGGTTTCCTTGTGCAATTAATTGTCACATGTCGCGCCGCGTGAGCGCCAAGCTTGTTGCAAAAAAATGTTGTTTACAAAGATAGTATACTTGCCAAGTACGCAAATATTGGCGTACTTGCCAAGTACACGAGTCGTGAGAATCCGCCTTTAGACATGTAGTGATCCCTATAACTACTGTAACTTCTACGCAGTTTTATCGGAAAAAAAATCCCTACAGACAAATAATATGGTATTTATTTTATAAAGCAACAATACAAAAGCTGTCAATACAAAAAGTTTTACGTAGATATTTTTATTAAATAATCTGCTTTTACCTCCATACTATCAATTTCATATTGTATTTTATTGCTGAAAGTAATAAAATAAATAAAAAGTAATTAATTAATTTATTTTTCGTAGTTATGGTAATGAATTAAAAAAACTCTTAGGCTTTATGTAAAGGCTTTTATTTAAAAGTTTAAAATAATTATAAAAATTATATAGTCTTAATTTATCGCGGAAGGTATTGATATACGTATAAATATTTTATTACTTTAATAATAATAATGTTATGGAAATAACTTTAATTAACATTGTGAATATAGTATTTAGAAGTCATCTTATATGCAAATTTTACTACAATTACTTTTCAAATTTTGTTTGGATTTTGTGTTATTTGCGGCTACTTAATTATCTTTGAATGATCTTACAGATGTGTGAACAATTATTATTTCCAAAGCGTCTAAAACTATTTTGCTCCCGATGGGAATTGAGGTGTCACATGCTAGATTAACTTTTCGACAAATAAAAAAGTAAAGGCCAGAAACTGTAAAATATGCATATAATAAAATGGGGAAAAAACATCGGAAAGGCGGATATACATAAAATATTTTTTAACTTTTTATGAATTTTCTGCAGCCATATTGTTTTTTTTGCAGAAAAGCTCCGAAATTCGTCGTATAGATATACAGGGCGTCCCAGGCTGAGCGTGCATTAGAGTTAGTTTAGTTTCTAGAGAACTACAATATCTAGATCGGAAATTTTTTGCATCATTTACAATAAGATCTATCGATTATATAATATATAAATTATATTTTCAATACGGCGTCACTTCCGGAAGTACCGGAAGTTGACAGCAAGTTTCTTATTTTAAATGGGCACCCCTATTTTTATTACATACTTAAATTCTCTGTAAAATTTTGACAGGAATTTTTAATTAAACTTTATTTTTTTTTTCAAAAACGATTATTGTTAGGTACCTATGGAGTGTTTAATATCAAAATTCATAAAATTTTACAGAAAATTTAATGAATTTTGAATGTAATAAAAAACGGGGGTACCTTTTTAAAATAAGAAAGTTAATCTAAATAACTTTCATTATTTCCGGAAGTGCCGCCATATTGAAAATATTTTAATCGTTAGATCTCGTTGTAAAACAATGATGTGCAAAAAATTTCCGATCTAGATATTGTAGTTCTCTGGAAACTTATAATGCACGCTTAACCTGGGGCACCCTATAACAGGTGCTTCTCAAAAGTGGCTAACCCCTATAACTTTTTTATTTTTTTAGTTAACAAAATGAGATTTGATATGTTAGTATATGACATAAATTAGGATTGATTGACGTATTCAATTGTTTTCGGTCACTTCCTGTTTCACCGGAAATGACTACAACTTTTGATTTTTAAATGGCACCCTCGGTATTTTTTTGCTTTATTCGATGGAAAATAACACTCAGCATAGAATGACATATCATATGTCAACTTTTGACATTTTCGCATATGGTTTATTTGAAATTATAACTTGCGGTTCGTAACGAAAATTTGACTCGAAGTACCAAGTGTATGGTATCAAATTATTCGTAAAAAAATGCTTTTTCGAAATATGCTAATAAGCCACCCTTGTTCCATTTGAAAAAAATGAGATAAGATTAAAAATACGATTTGGGTATTTTTTAACCGGCCAGGACAAGACACTAAAAACATTAGACGATCAAATCTATTTTTCCAAGGCTTCTTGATTAAAATAAGTGTTTTTAACATAGCCATGGCACTCTAGATTAAAAATTAAAATAAGATTTTTTATTAAGCCAGAATGTCAAAAGAGTTGTCACAAGTTGACATGTGATATGTCATTCTATTCTGTGTGTTATTTTTTATCGAATAAAGTAAAAAATACCAAGGGTGCCATTTAAAAATCAAAAGTTATAGTCATTTCCGATGAAACAGGAAGTGACCAAAAACAATTGAATACGTCAATCAATCTTAATTTATGTCATATACTAACATCCAAATCTCTTTTTTTTTTCTCTGAAAAAATAAAAAAGTTATAGGGGTGAGCCAGTTTTGAGACGCACCCGGTATAATAATATTTCTATTTTTCATATCGTCATCCTGTATAATAAGCGATTTAAAGAACTGGATTGATTAATATCAGTAACATCAAACAAGTGAAGAAAAACGGTGTTAAAGTTGGTTTGGAAATGAACATCGATATTATTTTATATGCCGTATATATGATCGCAAAAAATCGACGTGAAAGACAGCCGGGGAATGACAATTTTGGCGACGTCAATCTCTAGACCACATTTACTGAAAACTGGCATAAAACTTGTCCAAATTAACACTGATTATAAAAAAAAATTAGAAAGGATAGAACCCCCGTTTTCAGATATACAAATATATTTCCAAAATAATATTTTTTCACAAATTTTAAGCTACACCATTTGAAAATCATTTTTACTCAATATTAAATTGAAAGGTCAACTGGCAGTAAAGGCCATTAAAAATAAAGTAAGAGTTCAGGCCGAATAATGACGTCTAGGGCTTGACCTAGCCAAAATTATCATCGACTGTCATTTCCCAGCTGTTTTTTTCGATCGAATATAAAATCATATACAGTAGTGGCCAAAATTATAGCAACTTTTAAAATTCGAATATAAAATTGCCTACAAAGCAATAGCAATTTCCCTATTCACCCAAATAAAATGTTGAATTTTAGATGTCTATTTTAAGGACGTTAAACGTTGATTAATCTATTAAAAAAGGAATAATAAAATAATATGTATATTCTTGTGGACAAAATTATAGCAACTTTAACAAGTTAATTTGAAAATATTTTAAAATAAATAGAAAACATGAAAATAATTAATACTTCGTATAATATCCTTTATGTCTGATGACCTCTTCACACCTTCTGGGCATATATTTCCAGACATTCTGTAGTGCTTGAAAAAGTTGATCCAAGTTGCTGTAGTTTTGATCCCGGATTTTTGTGTCCACATAGTTCCACATGTTTTTAATCGGGTTAAGATCTGGAGACTGTGAAGGCCAAGGTAATAAATCGATTATTTCATCTCTTAAATACTCGCTCACCAGTTTGGATTTGTGCTTGAGGGCATTATCTTGTTGAAAAATAGCACCTACAGGCATTTTTTCTTCCAAATAAGGAATCATTTGATTTTGTAGAATGTCTTTATACAGAAACCGGTCCATTATTCCATTTATTCTGAAAAGTGGACCCATGCCGTAGCCCGAAAAACACACCCAAACCTGTATGGAACCGCCCTCATGTTTCACAGTAGGTGAAATATATTTTCTATTCAGCCTTTTTCCTACAGGGCACCTCACATAAGCAATTCCATCACTTCTGAATAAATTGAATTTGGATTCATCGCTAAAAACTACTTTTTTCCATTGTTGATGTGCCCAGTGATAGTAATTTTTAGCAAACTCCAATCAGGCCTGTTTTCTTTTTGAGAAAAGTGGTTTTTTGCCGGCCTGCGGCCATATAATCCAGCATCAACTAATCTCCTTCTAACAGTCCTTGAAACTGAAATTTACATTGCCAGAATTGCTAATTTCGTTGACAATTTGTGTGGACAAGTCATAAATGGATTTTTCTGAGCAATCCGCAAAATAGTTTTATCAACTCTTCTTGTTGTTTTTCTAGGCATTCCTGTATTTTTTGTTTTTTTCCGGCGATCCTGTTTCTTGATATTTTTTCACAATACGTGATATAACGGACTTGTTTAATAACAAACTTTGGGGATTCCGAACTTGTTTTTCGCCATTTAAAAATCGTCGAATAATAATATCCCTAACTTCGGGAGACACAGTTTAACCACGACCCATTTTTACCGATAAATATACTTTATTACTGCGTTTTCATTTGGCCAAAATGTCTGAACCTGATTGAATATTATTTTACAACATTTTACAAAAAATAGTTTTTAGTTATATTTTTATCCAGCAAAAAAATTAAAATGTATTTCCATTTGACGATAGTGTGATGATAAAAAATTGTATACATAGTAAACAAATATTTGAGTGAAATACAATAATAATAAACTATAAACTACTCGGCAATTTTAAGTTTTCAATAAAATTTTCAAGAATATTAAATTAAAAGTTGCTAAAATTTTGGGCACTACTGTATAGCGAATATCATCGATAGTCTAAGTCAACTTGACGCTGTTTTCTTCGACCATAAAGGAACTTTAATAAGAAGTAAAGTAGCAGAAGGATAATTATTTACAAGTATATTATAACAAATCTACACTCCTATAGCATTATTAAACATAAATATATCAATTCTCAAAGCACATACCTACAATGGTCAATTTATTCCCCGAACATGTGATCTTAAGCTGAATCCTTCCTCTTCGCTCTGTATGATCGCAGCCACATAAATTCGGAACGCTTTCTTCACATCTTTTGTGAACGTTCATATCACATGCTAAAAAATAAATTTTATTATTAATTAATATATGTATAAATATTCAAAATATCATTTTTATAATTATTAATGGTAACTACAACAAAACTGTTACACCGTGTATTGCATCGCCAATCTGAACATAAGCTGACCCATGTAAATTTTAAAAATATACAAGGTGTCCCAATATTTCGTAGACACAAAACTACTATACATTCTTGGAATCATAATAAGTACATTGGATAAAATTTATCTCTATACAAAAGTGCTTCGTTTGTCGGTTAAAAGGCACCAAACTTTAAAAAAATAAACACCTTTTTTAAGATACTTTATATATAACTGTAATTCCGATTTGAATGACATATTAGGTTTAATTTTTTACAAGAATAAAAATGTACTAAATACTAGAAGGGCCATTTTACGGATGTAAAATATTTCTTTCAAAATGTATGGGTGGGGATAGTTCTACTCTTCCCGTACTTTTTCATTATTCTTATGAAAATAAAATGTTAAACCGCTTAGCAAAACATATAATGGAACTATATGATTGTGTTAAAATAATGTGGTACTAAATTAAAAAATAACTGTATTCAGAAAACAGGAAACATTATACAGGGTCCGGCAATAGTGCGTCGGGCATCTGTAGCTCCTAGAATAAAAAACTTGAGAATTTTGTTTAAGTGCAAACCTAAAGTATGTACCAGGATGTATTTCAGGAAAATATGTAAACTTCTATAGGGTGGCTCAAGAAAGTGTGAGTGGACCTGGATGATTTTTTTTAAATGGAACCCCCTGTATATTATTGCATTTTTGGCTTCCTTTCAGATCACTTTACATAACCCTAAGATATGAATAAATCTATTTATATTAGTTTCAGAGATATTAAAAAATAAATCAAAAATATATATTTTTTCAGCCCTTTTTAAAAAAATTATTAAAAATACAGGAACTGTTCTGAAATCAAAAGTATATTAGGTATTTACTTTAGATCAGGGTTTCTTAAACTTTTTGCAGTCACGAACCACTTTCGCAATTTGTACAATTCCCCTATCAGAAAAAAAATAGCGGAAAATAAAAAAAGCCTTTGAAATTCACCTTTCAAAACTTCTTTCGATCTCATGTCAAATAAGTCATCTTTAATGAGATCTTCATCGCTGATATTATCCTTGTCGATTATAAATGGACCCCGCACCCACGTTTCATTTTCAAGCGATTCTAAGTTAAAGTAGCCTTCAAAAGAAGTTTGCAATGTATCCAAATGCTTTTGCTTGCTTGACACCTCTTTCTGTAGCATTTTTGATATCGTGTTGCTGTCACCTTGTGTTATTAACTCTTCAAACATCGCAAAATTTGCAAAGTTACCCGATTCCACCCTCGTCCTTTTCCAAAGTGGCAGTTTACATATGAAGCCTTTCAACCGTTCAGATGCATCCACGATGGTCACCGCAGAGCCCTGAAGAGACAAGTTAATTTCATTCAATTGAGTAAATATATCTGCCAAATCTTCCCCTAGGAGATGCAAGACCTTGTCGTTGGTGGGGAAGCTCCTGGTCAGGTGCTGGGGGGAATCCCCTCTAGCACTTGGCTTGGTCTAAGAAGCATCTCACTCATCGTCTTGTCCCTGACTGTAGTGTCGTGGCCAGGGAATTGCACCAAGACATATAAAGATACCGGGCGGGGCTAGGGACAGCCTCAACCTTGGGGCACCGGGGGTACCCCATTGTATTTTACACCTTACTTCTACATGCGGGGCTCTGTAGAAGTGGACCGACTGTCCCTAGCGACTCATAGGAACACTATGAGATCTGGTAATAATAGTAATAAAAACATCACCGGTGAACCTGTGGGGAAACCCCCTAGCGACACTGGGAACAACAGTTACAATGAAAGTTCCAAGGGGCCAAACCCAAAGAGAACTACAGGAGAGGTGACTGAAACTTCCGTGAGACCATCCTCCGCAAGTGGCATACAAGCTACCACCTCCTCCAAGGGTCGGGAGCCTACCTCTACACCCAACAGGCGACAAAAGCTACCGTTTCGTCTACCCGGCCTGGGTCGTTGCTCCTCGACTGTGAGGGACACGGGTCTCCGTAGGAAGTCCTGGGACCGTATGATGAGTTATAACTCAAGAAAGGGGGACACAATAGATCTCTAAGGTCGTAGGGATTAACCCCCCTCCCACTTATTCTAATTCTAATTCTAATCTGCCAAATACGCTAGCCCCCGTACAAAATCTTCGCACTCTAGATATTCAGACATTGAATTTCCTTTATCTTTTAGAAAAAGTAACATTTCTGTCCTCAACTCGCTTTAAGACCTGTCCCCTTGACAGCCAACGAACTTCTGTGTACTAAAGCAGTACTTCATATTCTGACCCCATCTCTTGACAAATTCTTTTAAACAGGCGCACAACGCTCTGATGAATTTAATTATTTTGACACATGTAGACATAACTTCCTTCCATTTCGATGTAAGACACAATGAGTTATTATGACATGAGGGATCTCTTTCTTGACCAGAGCCGCGAAACCAGACGTATTTCCAAGCATTGCGGGACCTCCATCGGTGCAGATACTACCAAGTTTAGTCTTCCAGTCTATATTTTGTTCGTTGAAAGTATTTCAAAATGTTTAACGGTTTCGCAGATACACGCAGTATTATGCCATGCGCTTTCAATGGTAAAATACGAGAGAAAAATCGTTGGGTAGCTTAGATAAAAATTTACTGTGGAAAATGCCATATGATATGAAATATAAAACCGTAAATATCTGCGAAACCGTTAAAAATTTTGAAATACTCTAAATACAAAAAATGTTCATTTTTTAATTCTCCGTCTATTGAAAAAATAATATACAGGGCATTAAAAAAGCATTTAAAAAACGAAGAAAAATAATTTTATATTTTGTATTAAGTTTGGCGTAGAATTTTGAACATCTTGTATGATTTACGATTTTCATATTTATAGCAAAGTAAGTACAGACCATCTAAAGTAAATACCTAAAATAGTTTTGATTTCAGAACAGTTCTTGTATTTTTAATAATTTATGCGGGATAAAAAATATATATTTTTGATTTATTTATTAATATCTCTGAAACTATCAAAATTTATTTATTCATATCTTAGGGTTATGTAAAGTGATCTGAAAGAAAGCCAAAAATGCAACAATATACAGGGTGTTCCATTTAAAAAAAATCATCCAGGTCCACTCACACTTTTTTGAGCCACCCTATAGAAGTTAAAATATTTTCCTGAAATACATCCTGGTACATAATTTAGGTTTGCTTTAAATAAAATTCTCAAGTTTTTTTTTATTCTAGGAGCTACAGATGCCCGACGCACTATTGCCGGATTCTGTATGTACAGTGGCGTAGAAAGGCGGGGGCGAGGGGGGCGGTCCGCCACAAGCGGCGACCCTCCATGGACGGGCGGGGTGGCAACAAATTATCACAAAAGCGGCGGAATTCATTCTGTAGAGCGGCAAACTTGCTCTCCGCCCCGGGCACCTCTGACACACGCTACGCCACTGTATATGTATATTTTTAAATTAGTTCAATAAAATTTGCCTGGTATCGAAAAGTTTAAAAAACGAAAGGCAAATTTTTATTTCATTTTTAATAAATGTTTTTTTAATAATTCTTAATTGTACCGGGTGCGTCTCAAAAGTGGCTCAACCCTATAACTCTTTTATTTTTTCAGATAAAAAAACGAGATTTGGTATGTTAGAATATGACATAAATTAGGACTGATTAACGTAAACAATTGTTTTTGGTAACTTCTTGTTTCACCGGAAATGACTACAACTTTTGATTTTTAAATGGCACCCTCGGTATTTTTTACTTTATTCGCTAGAAAATGACATTCTGAACAGAATGATATATCATATGTCAACTTTTGACATTCTTGCTTAATAAAAAATCGTATTTTAAAATTCAATCTAGAGTACCATGACTATGTTAAAAACACTAATTCTTAATCAAGGAGCATTGGAAAAATAGATTTGATCGTCTAATGTTTTAAGTGTCTTATCCTGGCTAGTTAGAAAATGCTCAAATCGTATTTTTAATCATATCTCAATTATTTCAAATGGAACGAGGGTGGCTTATTAGCATATTTCGAAAAAACATTTTTTTATGCATAATTTGATACTACACACTTGGTATTTCGATTCAAATTTTCGTTACAAACCGCAAGTTATAATTTCAAATAAACCATACGCGAAAATGTCAAAAGTTGACATATGATATTCAGAGTGTTATTTTCTACCGAATAAAGTAAAAAAATACAGAGGGTGCCATTTAAAAATCAAAAGTTGTAGTTATTTTCGGTGAAACAGGAAGTGACTGAAAACAATTGAGCGTCCGGATTGCACAACGACCTTAGCGCGTGGCTGCAGGCAGCCCAGTAGGCAGGCGAGACAGCGACGCGCCGATTTAACAAAATAAATAATTTTCAACCTGCCGTCATTTCGTTAATAATTATCGTATCGTGTTGATTTTTGCATAGAAATACTCATGAGTGTTTAGCGCTTCCGACAAGCCTAAATAACTGGATTATTTTTTATATTTTCGATTTGTTTACATTGCCCGAGCATATTATAACTTTGAGATAAAAATCTCTGTTATAAAATTTAAAACTCACAGATATGAATACTATCATTTAATTAATTATACATTTAGTTACAACATATTCAAAATTTAGGTTTATCGGTTTATGCTAGCAGTAATAACGAGTATAAATAAAAAAATGGTCAGTACAACGCTCGCCGTTTTTAGCGCACGTTCAGCTTTGGTTTTAGTTTTAGCGCTATTTTTACAGAAAATAAATTCTGAACTTTGATCAAATGACAAGAACATTATCACTGCCGATATCTTCTGGTTATAATGTAGTTCTTTTTTCAAAATATTGCATTGTTTTAGCTTTAAAAAACTTGAATTATGCGACTTTTTTGTGAGAGCTACCGGCGCGGCGCTGCGTTAATAAAGAGATGACTATGTACATCAATCGAAAGACAGTATTTGCG